TTTCAGAACCTCTGGCCTTTATCTTGGTTAAATATTAGCCAAAATCCCTTGACCCTTCCAATAAAACTTGAAAAGCAAAGCTAAACAGCTAACCATTAATCAGCTTGTGATTTTATCAAGGCTTTTCTGACATAGCAGCTCTGGGTCTTATACTGGTATCAGAGGAAAGAGTGTCTTTGTTCATACAGTGGGAAGTTAAGTGTGTTACTAGCTACATCCAAGTGAATTCTATTCATTTAAGTCTATATGAGAAGGTGCTGTGTAAGATTTAGGATTTGTTTATTCTTTCTAATTCTACTACATTTTCCCCGTAGAGCATCAAGCAACTCAATGGCAGTCACATTTTCAGGTTTAGATTCGCAATTGCACAAGCAGAATGTGGGAATGTCATGACTACACACTGATATCACGACACGTGGAAAAAAATACCCAGTTCTCATCGTTGGAAAGGCATTTTAACCTGCAATCAGAACAAGTGATCATATGGGGAGGGTAGGCAATTGCAAGGCACAACCTTGGGTAGATGAAAATCTGGCCTCTAATCTGGTGCTTGAATCCACATCTGAAATGGGAATCACAGTAGCGCATTCCCAGCTCCTCCTTATGCACCTTTTCAGGGTGTTGTGAAAGTAGTAAGGGGGGGTTTGAGGTTCTCACAAATCTGATGGTTGATGACAGAAGTGCGTCACTCAGCTGTGAGCTGTTCAGGTTTCCATACAAAACATAGTTTCCTGCTCGAGCAAGAGTTGTGAATTTATGTTAATCCAAATCTGGCATTTCTCAGGCTATTCAGTCAAATTAATGCCTTGGAGCTCAGATGTGTGTGCCATGAGGACACCTTAAAGAGAAAACACAGCTACCTGGAGGAGTTGTAGTTAGAGCTGAAAGAGCTTTAGGGCAGAAGGTCCTCACCTTTCCATGCAAATATGTTCTCTAGCACAAAAAAAAAAACTAATGAAGAGAAAAAAAAAGAAGTGGAAAGCTCTAAGTGCATGCTTTTAACAAGAAAGCAAATACAATAGGGAGGGAACAAAAGAGATAAAAGAACAGGTTAAACTCAGCAAAAAACCTCTTTGGTTACAGAAAACAGGGTTTGCAGGGGCTTAGTACAGATGATTCCTTAATTTTTTTACTTTTCCTTTTGAAAGATGTAAGTGCCCCTGGAATTTAAGAAGGGAGGGCAGCTTTATGGCTATTACAGAGCAGGATGAAAGGCACATTACCCACTAAGGTTTTGTCCTCCTTGAAGCCTCTGGCCACTATCAGAGACAAGATTATTGCACCAGATAGGTGGACCGCAGCCTAATCCAGTTTGGCGTGTATTTCCCTGTGACACATGCAGACGCTGCCACAGAGAGGAGACTGGTATATCCTGCTCTGAGCATGCTGTGTCTGCATTTGCCCTCTCTGATTTGAGAAAGCCATGTGTCTGACTTGCCAAGTGTGAACAGGAAGCTTTCTTGGGTGAGTGCCCTTTGCTTCTACAGAGATACGTATTTACTGAGGGGCAGGGAGGGGAGTCTCAGACTGTTAGTGTGGCTGCAGTAATCGCCACTCCCACCACCCCATTCCAAACAAAGATATCCAAAGATGGGATTTCAGGGAAATGACTCTAAAGAAGATTTTGCTGCTCAGAGCTGTGCCAGCAGTCAGGGACTTTTCAAAGACTAGTTTGCGCTAGAATGAAAACCACCTTCCACAGTCCTACAGTTACTGATGCAGTTGCTTTAAGGATCTGCAAGGAGGGACAGCATTGGAGCTAGCCTCATGAGGCATCATGGAAGGACAGTGACCAGGAAAGGTACCAAAAGGGGGACAGGAAGAGAGGAGGAGGCGGCAGATGCTGTAGAAGATGCACTGCAGCAGGGAATAGGTGGTGGCAAGGGAGGCTGAGAAGGGACAGGGAGCCACAGAGTCTGCCTGAACGTGCATGAAAGTGCAAAATGTGAGAAATTAAAGATGAGAGTGGCAAGCAGAAGGCGAAGGAAACAGGAATGTGATAAGGGCAGTAGGGGCCTGTTTAATTAAAAAGGATTCAGCTGACATCATGCAGGAGATTTCCATCCCACGCAGAGGAATGGTGATGACATCCCCAGCATTGCAATGTACGGATGAGGGGTGGAGACGCCGTGTCTCCCTGTCAGGAGGCACTGAGTGTGCCTGGGAGAGGGCAGGGGCCTCTCCAGGAGCCTGAAGTCCCACCTGCACTGGAGGCAGCATGACACACGGCTGCCTGCCCAGGTCCAGGTTCATTCTACCCACTGGCATTTTGAGTCGTTGGCATTTGTGTTGAAGTAACTCTGAAGGATCCCAACGAAGGATTATGCAAGTCTATTCAATTCTGGAAGACATGAGAGACCCACTGTCCCCACCCAGCGAACTTTATCCTCCATGTCTATACAATATGCCGTAGGGAGAAGGCAGAAAGTAAGGCAAGGAGAGAGTTGGTTGTGCTTTGACTAGTTAATCAAGTGAAATTCTTAACACCACCTTCCGGACTGGTGAACGGTTATTAGCCAGTACCGCTGAAAAGCCTAGGCTCTGATGGTCAAACAAGGAAGGACAGTTATTATGCCCATAACTGGTTATGCAAGATGGACTTGTGCAATTCATCATCTCAATGTCCCAGTGTTTCACTATGTTTCATGTGCAAATAATTTGATAAAAGTCACCTGGGGTTGCACTGTTTTTCCTGGCATTCAGTATATCCTACTTTCTGGAAAGTCTAAGCACAAGCACATAGAGAGCACTGCATCTTCACTTTGAATAACAGAAGCAGCCTTTTGGGGGAAAGATTAAAGGTAACAGATTTTCTCTTCATCCAAATTTCCCCTTTCCAAATGAGGGATTACAAACACAAAGGTCAGTAAAATTCGTTTGCACCGAAACAAGTTATGTGTTGACTGTTACAGGCTGAGAAAGGGTCACACATACATGCTCTTCAGAATAAGACATCAAAATCAAAGTGGGACAGCCCCGTTCCTGCAAACAGACATGTCCTTAGCCTGTACTCCAGCAGCATTATGTCGTGTATAAGGTCAGGCAAGCACATTCCTTGGGGAGGTTCTTCCCTATCAGTGATCTCACGTTCCACACTAGTTTGTACAGAGGAGCTATTCACATCCATGCATTTTTTAAACAGCTTTATTAAACAGCTTATATGCATTTCACTTCTGCCTACCCTCTTCTCTTTCCTCCTGTTTTTTGCATGTGGACACCCATGCAATCTTGAAGCTCTGCTTTTAGCTGAAGTCTAGAACCAGTCTGGACTGACATGTAGGCAGAATACTGAATCTAAAGACCCTGCGTGATTCAGAGGAGGGTTCCAAAGGTTCCAAAACAATTTGGGTGGCAATGATTTCGGTAGAGAAACAATTCAGTGGAGAAAAAGGGTGCCCAATGAGTTACTGAGTGAGCTTTCTGTCATCCTGAGGAATCCTTTAATGCTTAAAGCTCAGAAGGATTTACGAGTATTATCTACTCAAAACAAAAGAGAAGGTGAGCAGCTCTCTTCCATGAAACATGCACATGCTGCAAATGCTCAGCTGGCTTATAAATGCCTCTTTTAAAGTACCAAGGAACTTTTATTTCCTTGGTTGCCATCTAGTGGAAACTCTGCTGTCTGCATTGCATTACACATAATAATAGCATTTCCATCTCGGAGCCCATTGAGCTGTGTAGATGATGGCACCATTGAAAAGAGGGTCAACTTACCAAGCATGTTTTGTGCTTTCTAAATTAAAGCAAGGTCTTGCTAGGTCAAGAGATTACACAGTAAACAGCAGAACAGGACACTTATTTCTCTTCACTGACCACTGTATGGTACTAGCAAGAGGTGAGGTATCAGGATAGAAGGGCTCAGGTCATAGATTATTCATGATGCGCAGTTACTGCGCAAATGGCCTGGTGCCAGCTAGGTGGAAACCACATTATAGGTCAATATTAATATATCTCAGGTGTATTTTCTTCACTTGGGACAACTGTATTTAACAGTTCAATGTTGTACTGTTTGAGATTATAATAACTGTGTTGTGTTGCTGAAACAATGGGGTTATATATAGAAAAAAATGCTATTGATTTTCTCAACCCAAAACTTGAGTTACCTGTGCCATTGCTGGGGGTATCATGAGTCTCTGTAAGATGTTCTTTGAAAACATGGTGAAATGACAATTCCAATTCCTGAAAAGTACCAGACTAATTCATTTTGGAGAGTGTTCATTCATGTGGAGACACCAGGGAGCTGGCTAGATTCCTGTGATGTTTTTTCTTGCATCTTCCATTCTTCATTTGCTTTCCTTGAGGAATTTTATTAGATTACACGCACACAGTCCTTGAGAAAGCAGCTAAGTTTCCAGCATTGCTCCATGCTTCCTTATATTGAAGTCCTGCCAGAGCCAAGCATTTTGGCACCAAATTAGTGTACCCACACCATGTGCTTGTATCTACTTGTCTCTCCCTTTCTCATCAGCAATAATTCACTCAATTTCCTTCCTGAGAAGGACAAGATTTCTCTTGCTGCCATCCTGATGTGCTTCACGTAGCGTGATTCAAACCTTGCTGAAGCAATGCATGTTATTCAGGGGAGCCAGTGGTGATGTTGGAAAGCAGACAAAAACTCACTATTTGGAAGCCTTGACACATTATGAGCATCAGCAGCCCATACAGACAACTGCTGGCAATTAGCCTCAGTACTGAAGAAAAATGGTTCCCTTTTGCCTTTAAGTAAAAATGTATGCCAAGAATTTCTAGAAGTTTCCCAGATAAGCTGCATAACTGAAAGCTTTTTGTAACTGTCCTTGTCACTAAATTGCTGTCAGGGAAATCACATCAATTGTTAGATCTTGCCTATTAATAAAGGAAGCTTATCTTTGGGACACGTTTTTTTAATGTCATCTTTTTCTGCATAGGAAAACAATCGTGCTGAGGAGAAAAGCAAAAGTTGTGTCAAAAAAGCTTTGTTAATGTTTTTCCTTCCTCCTTTTTCTTCTTATGAAATAAAGATATGCAGAGCCTTGAGAAGCTGCTGAGGGATGCAATAATATATGGGCAGCCTCGAAGCCACCGAGCATGGAGAAAAATTATCATCCTCGTGGAAGGCATTTACAGGTATGTTTGTGCTTTAGAAACGTGAGTACTTGTTATCATTTCTGATGACAGAATGATGTATTGAGTGAAGTGGGCACTGACTTTGAGAGAAATCTTAATGACAGTGGACGTTAAAACAACATTCTGTGATCTTATAAATATGTTGATTTCCATTACATCAGTCTGAGCCCTGGATCCTGCAGCTCCAGATAGATCCTGTGTATCGTTCTGAATGATGATTTAGCAAATCACCATGGAGTGGGAGATCCACTCCAGCTGGTGTATGTTGTCACAGCTGTGATAAAATCCATGGAGCTGCAGTAGGTGAGGAGTTCTGTTGAGTAAGCTGGGTTTTCTAGAGTTGATTGTTGTGCACAGGCAGATCAAAAGACAGCTACTCTGAATTAATTAAATTCTGCATGCCCAGTTCTTACCCAGCTTTTGGAATCTAAAAACTCAAGCTGAACATAGGCCAAGTGATATCAGCACCTTTCTAGTAATTAGTGTTGGCTCTAATGGACTTGCTGTCTAACAGGAAAAACAATTAAAAGATTGGCTTTCAAGGAATTATCTAGCCCCAGTCCCTGGAGGAATTTGAATGAGAGAAGTGCCTTTGATAACCCATCAGATAATATAATCATCAATAATACCACGTAATTATAGAGCATCCCAAGTCAGATAGCTCCGGTTAACTAGTGTGGTGCATCTTACACCCAATCAGAATGACAAACCATCACTAGAGTTGGGCAGCAAAGCAGAGGCACCAGCCAGTCTCACCATCCTGGGATTCAACCTGGCAGTCACTCAAGGCAGGCTGCTGGAGAGGCAGCCATGGGGCTGACGGATGGCACAGAGCAGGAACCTCTGGTGGACAAGGAGCTGGAATGGGAAGAGATAGAGATCATGAAGAGGAGGGAAGGGCTGAAGAAGCAGGGATCTGGACAGTGAGAGCGTCTGCAGAGATCTAGGCAAGGATACTGTGGCAATGGCAAGAGGTGGGGAGTAGGAGAAGGATGGTTTGGGGAGTAGTGACATCTGCACCACAGAAAAGGGAACCAGAACGATTCATTCACAGGATGTGACATGGTTATGAAAGCAGTATTAAACTTTATATGTAGGGATCATGTCGAGTGTTGCTGATACACAGCTGGTCTCGGATGGGCAGTGGTTTATGTCATTTTATTGAGACATTCTGGCACAGTTGAGCTGATTAGCTTTTTTTCATAAGGAATCCTACTACAATCTCTTGTCATCACAACTTCATAGATCTCAGTGCTTTCTTTTCACTTTAACATTTTCCATCTGTAAAGAGAGCAAATCAGTCCTTATCTAAACACCTGTCACTCAGATCTGAAACAGGTCAGCAGCACATCAGCTGATCCAAAGCAGGCTGAACGTCTCCTTTCAACCAGAATAAACAGAGCAAAACTGCAAATAAACATAGCTTGGCACTACTAAAGGAAACCCCAGATTTAAGGACTTTGATCATGCAGAAATTAAGTGGACCACCAACATTTTACTGACAAATGTTCCCATCAGTCACACGGCCTGCAGAAAATGCTCCAGCTGCTGAGCTTCACTCACTTATAAATCCTTTACCCTGGGTATTGACCACTAGGGAGCAAGAACATAGGCTGTTGACACAGAAGCACAGATTGGTCCGAGCACTGGGAGATACCCACTGTCAGATATTTGCAACTGTAATAACTATAACTGTATTTCAAGGCCAGGTAGGACAGAGTCTTTGGTGACAAGGTCTAGTGTGTGGTGTCCCTGCCCATGGCAGGGGGGTTGGAACTAGGTGATCTTAAGGTCCTTTCCAACCCTAACTATTCTACAATTCTATGATTTCCAGATGTATATTTGATATATATTTCCCTCTCTAGTTTTGCAGTTCATTTTCAAAGATTTCATTCTTAAAAGTTCAAAGATGGAACACAAAATAAAAACATGTTAATTCCCCAAGAACCTCACTAAATCTGAACCATGAAGCTCCTTCAGCCCCATAAGGGCTAAATAACGTTAAGACCCTGAGTGTCTGTGCTTGTGAAAGTCATGAACTAAAAGAAAAAACAAAGATCTCCAATAGTCTCCCATTGGAAACTGGCCCTAGCAGTAGCTAGGTTGGCTGGTTGGTTGGTTGGTTGTTTTCATAGTCTAAGCAGATCACAAGCTGAAGATTGTGGCTTGGTTGCAAAGCAAGTCTGCTCTGACTGGAGGGAGAATATCACCACACCCCACCGTGCTGTGTCCTGGCATCACTGCCAACCCGAGGTGCACGCAGCTGATCTTTCCTTATAGCATTGCTGGCAAAAGGCTTAGGCCATGCAGTCTAATTCAGCAAGTAGCTAATAACATTTCATATGTGAAATGAAAATATTAGAAATGCTCTCTCTTTTTTTTTTTAATGTGTGCATGTTCTTTCTTTTCTTGGCCCATGAGTTTTTAAAAAGACTAAAATTTTCCAACCCCACACTGGCTAACGCTGGTTTCCTTCAAGGTTTGCCAGATGCCAAATTAACATCCATCCAGAGGGTTTAAGAGGAGGCAGAGTGTTGTTAATATATGCTTCTTACAATAGTTAATCTTGCTTTCTTTTTTTTTCCTTAAAGGGCTTAAGCTATGCTTCAGGGACAACTAATACAGAATTGAAATAAGTTGGTCAGAACTATTCTCCAAGTTAAAATACCTTGGACTTGCAAGCATGGCTTGGCAAATTTTGTCAGAAATGCTTTTTCCAGAGATGCAGAGAAAACATTAGACTTTATTATTTTCCTTCTTTAAAAAAAATATTACTATATGAGACACCATGGTCTTAGTGTGATGAAGTTGATGGTATGGAAAAAGAAATTGCCTTCTGTTTCCATTAGGAGTATGTGAAAGTGTTTGCATTGTGCATAAGCCTGGGCTTACCAGCTGGCAGAATTTGAAAAGGGTCGTTGTTAGCCAACATGAGCATTTTTGGAAATCAGGTTTGTGTTCGAAACCAAAAGCCGCAGATTTTGCTTGGTTACAACTGAAGGCAGAATTGGCCCCTTCACTTGGGAAGCACTCAAGCTACATATCAAATAAATAGTAATATGTCTCTTTGCTTTTTAATGTTTCTATTATCTTAAAAAGAAAAAAGTCATCAGGAGTAATTGTAACTACTAGTGAAAGCTGGTTCTTAACTTGGACTACCCTAGGAGCAAATATGTTCCATTTGCATTCCAAGCTGAGAGAGATCATCTAGCTATCAATCTTCAGCATAAAAAGCATGAACAAGTTTTGGCAGTGTCCAGGGCACAAGTTAAAATGACTTTCAAAACCATATTTCTATTATTTAAAATTCCAGTTAACGTTTTCCTTGGCTTCTACCATTTCCAGTTCAGGATTAATCAGTTACTGTGTTCTGATACGGTTTGTCATAGGCTTCTGCTCTTTTGCACACATATTTAACTAGGAGTCAGATAGGCCAAGGCCCAGGGCAGGAGTTCTGGGGCACCAGAAATTGATCAAAACCAATTTTTTTTCACTTTGTTTTTCCCTGCTTTTAATTTAATTTGGGTATTTTCCCTTCCAGCTAAGAAAATAGCTCTCTGATAAGTTAGATATTGTCCAGTGCCTGTTCACATGCATTAGAAGTTCCTTGGGATTCAATACCATAGGAAATTTATCAGGGTTATTTTTTATTTCCTGAGATTAAGTGACTGGACTTCCAGAAAAGAATGGGGTAACATGTAATGTCTTTGGCCAGGAAACAGCATTAAAGGTTAACATTTCTATCGTTTCAGTGTGGGGGCTTATATTTGAGAACAGGATTGGAAGGTTTCCTTACAACTATTGCCCTGAACTACAAAACAGAGATTGCTCTATGAATGTGCAAGGTTTATGCAAGAAAACAAAACCTAAAGTAAACATTAACATGGAATGCATACATCTTGGGAGTAACAAGTCAGGAAAAGAAGGATTTTCTCAATTAGAAACTAGCCTGAAAGGGGAACAGATAGTTTTTAAATGTTGAAAGGATAGCGGTGCTATAGGACATGTTTAGAGGCATTGAGTGATGCAAATAGGAAGAAAATAATGGGTTGAATACCAGTAAATTATTCTCCTGACAGACAAAAAATGAATCTGTGGTACCACAGTAGGATGTAGAAAACTCTTTTTCCCAGGAAGTTTCAAAAGAAACTGGGCAAAACCCATCAACATCCTGTCAGGAGCAAGCCTGTGTCCCAAGCAAAGAGACCAGCACAAGTGCACGCTTCCTGTCTCTCACAGCACCTGGCTCCACAATTCATCAGGAAGAATTTCAGTGGTTTGGTAGGGATTGAATCAAGCTTCAAAACTCAATGATGCCAAAATCTTGGATTACCTCCTCACATCCAGAAGTAAATTCAAACTAAGTGTGTATTGAAGCAAGCTCTTGTGCCTGCCCACCAAACAAGGGAGTTGAGGGTCAGCTACAATTTAGCTTTACATCCCTGCCACCAAGCTACAAAGACAGGATAGAATAACACATAATGAAAACATCTGGCCTGGGCAGAGCCATCTTATGTTCATCTACATCCACCTTTTTTGATGTGCCCCGTGTGCTTTAGGAGATCTGGAAACAGATCAATAGCTTTGTAAAAGTGACACAACCAGACTGAGACAGAACAGTTACAGTTCACTGCTGGTTGTCTGGTTTAAACTCAGTCGACATCAATATTTACTGAAGGATCCAGTAAACTTTCCATTTGGGCTACCCAAGGGGTTATGTGAAGGGAGCTTTATCTTGGAGCAATTCTAAACAGAGCAGCATCCATATCACAAAGCATCTACCAGGGTCAAAAGAGAGACCAAGAACAGAGCAGGCAGCAGAATTGCTCTCATCTCTGCCATCAGGAGGGCTGAGGCCTGTTTGAATGGCAGCACAGAAAATGTACACAAAATCAACAGTGCTTTATCTACTCTATGGACACTTCAAGGCCATGTTAGGACCTCTGTCAACTATTGTAACATTCTCCTACTCGCATGAGAAAGAAACATTTCTCTAAATTCTCTTAATGGTTAAGTCTTGCACTAGCCATGTACCAGCTCTATGTATTCTGGGATTCAGCAACAACACAAATATGCAGCAAATCAAGCTCTGTGGTTTTAATTTACTATTTTCACTCTTTTTTAAGATAAATACTCTTTCCCATCTGAATCTCCATGAGCCAGTAAGCTTAATGACATCCATGTAAATGTAGAAAAAACTGCTGTTGTCCTTTGCCTAGCTGATCTGTCCAAGTACTGCTGGAAGGTAAAGGGTGGGATACCTATTCACTTCCCTCTGTAGGGATGCTCCATGGCACCACTGTCACTCTGACCATATAGCCAACCTATAGGCTGACCAGACACAGCTGAAAGCTGCCATCTTCAGCACACACGATGCTGCCTAAGCACACCACTGGCTCAGGATCATTTTTAGCTGACTAAGCTTTGACCCTGGGCTATGTGAGGACTGTGGGCTCTGCCTTTGTATTCATGAGGAAAATAGCTGTAGTGGTTCACGTTGCTTCTCACCCAGCTGCCAAGTGCCACCTGGGAAAAGTGAGAAAGACCAGTCTTTGGAAGCTTGCAGCACAAGCCCACCCTCCTTTACTGCAAGAGACCATGGTGCCAATGTACAGCCCCAGAGCTGCCTCTTTGTATGGATGGGCAAGACAAAAGGGTAAGACTTACCGACAGTCACTGGACAGTCAAAAACATGCCTCCAGGCCCATGCAGTAGGCTCTCTGAACCTCCCAGTATGAACAGCACAGGCATCCCTTGTCCATGGCTGCTCCCCTGTGCTGTTCTGTCAGACAAATGGAGACTCGCCTACAGGCAGGTGTCCTTCAAAACTGGAGACCAAGATGAAGACCAAAGGATGAAGAATGACTAAAATTGGCAAAGGTTCCCTAAGTGCTAAAAGAACATCCTGCTCCTTTTGTGGTACCAAGCTTCCAGCTGCATGGTGTAGCTTAGAGTGGCAATAAAACAATCTGTGAAAACCATTGGCCTGCCATCTAAAAGTTGCCAAAAAGTTTTGTTGGTTGCACTGCTCTTTTGTACAATTTGGGAGCAAACTCGATGTTTCTGCTTTCTCTTGTAGCTTTTGCAATTGGATAGACCTTTAGCCTCAGGCCTTAGCCATGGAGCATTGGTTTTCCTGGCATACAGTGCACTCATTTTCTGTTTGATAGGAAGTATTTAGCATTTAAAGACCTGCTCACTGGAGCTAGTGGAAGAGAACATGTTTAACTCATTATGAAATGAATACTGAGTGCATCAGAGCATATCCAAGCATAGCTGTAGTCATCTCACAAAGGCTTTCAAGACATAACAGTCTTCACAGCGACACTATTGATACTTCATTTTATGGGATTATAGTGTATTTCTCATTTATCTCCCTGGGTTTCATTTTGCTGTACACCTCTTCTGTGCTTTCTAACTTACTGATGTGATTGCCAGCAATACAAAAGATTTATCACTTTTTCTTATTTCTACAAATCTCAATACACCATTAGTGCAGCTTCAGAATATTTCCTATTCTTGCACAGCTGTAAAGAAAAGTAAAAGGAAAAAGAAAGAAAACCTTTTTCTTTTTGAATATTAGGTAGTAGGCTACATCTCCTAAAAAGCACATATTAGGAGGAACAATTGGCAAGAGAAGATTTGAGCTCCCTTTTCTAATCTTTGATTCTGTCCACTCTGAAGACTGCTTACAGTTCTAGCATATTCCCTGGGTTTCATATGGCCCATCTCTTCCATATGTTAGACCCAATTCCTCTGCACCAGAGTAATTTGCTCTAGAGCTGTTACCCCCAAATATTACCACAGTAGCTGACGATGAAGTAAGCAAGGACCAGACCAAATTACAGGGGTTCCACATAGCTCATTACAATATTTGTTTGGTAACAAATTGCAGTGCTTCTTTGGGTGAGTATCTCCCCCTTGTTTTATACCTTCCCTTCTTTTTTGTGGGATGCTGAAAATTTGCAGATGTTCAGCATCTTTTGGACGGTTTTTGATGGTTTGAATTCTAAAACTCACCTGCAGATAGGAAAGCATTGCACCTTTTCTTTGAACTGCAACTACAAATTGAGGTTCCAGAACATCTTTTTTTTTGGACTACGGCAATTAATGACTATATTTTCTGGCGGTATCTTAAAGAGAAAGTACAGGATTTGGAACTAGATGATCTTAAGGTCCTTTCCAACCCTAACGATTCTGTGATTCTATGATTTGTTGTTCATCCATAATTCTCTCCATCCACAGCATGGAAGGGTCCATTGTGCGCCTGCCAGAGATAGTCTCCTTAAAGAAGAAATACAAAGCCTACCTCTACTTGGACGAAGCTCACAGCATCGGTGCAGTGGGAGCAACGGGCCGAGGAGTTGTGGAGTACTTCGGTATGAACCCTGATGATGTTGATGTATTAATGGGAACGTTCACAAAGAGCTTTGGCGCAGCTGGAGGATACATAGCTGGCAAAAAGGTAAAAGGAAAATGCATTTTATCATCAGGGAGGGAAAGGGGGAAGCATCTTCTTATATTTACAATGTATTTTGTTTCATCTTCTTATTATGTATCATATATTTCATTATCTTTTTGCACAGGCTGCTTTACAGGAGCACTGTTCTCATGTTAGTGCCATTTTTGTCTGGATCCCAAATGCGCATCTGTTAGACTTTCTTATTTTTGTCTCCTATTCATATTATGTAATTTGCTTGGGTCGGGTATTTCTGTGCCATCCTGATGATTGTTGTTTGTCTTGGAAATGTTTAGACACGTTGTGGTTGGCTAAATATACTTCACTACATTAATTTGCATGCAGATTGCTCATTACTTTGTTTCACATTTGCAAACAGCGTGGAGCAACACGGAGATTAAAGCCACAGCTTCATCCACTGATAATAAAATTCCTAAACAGTTGTGGATTGTCATAGTTGCATTTTTTAGGAGGATGGAGAAGGAGGGTTACTGAGGGCCTTTTGCTATACTAAAATCCATGTCCTCAGTTGCTCTGCATACATTAGCAAAATAACCTCTTGCCAACAACAGATGTCAACAAAAAGTAGAGCATTGGGGGTGTACAAGAAGAGAAAGCCTAATCAGCACCATTGTGAAATGTCATCAGCTTTGTTGCTTGACAGAGATATCAAGTGGTTGCTGATTATTTACCCTTTTCATACCCTGCTGAATGTATTTCTCAAGTAGTTTGCTGAATGAGTAGGAAGCCTGTTTAGACAGCCCATATGGTTGTTGTCAGGATAACATTAGTAAGCGTAGCACTCGAGTAGAATAAAAGAGCTGGAAGAAAGTATAAAGTGCATGTTTCTTACTGTCTTTTTTGGTTTTGCCCCTGGAAAACTTAAAACAGGCTATCATGATACATCAAGAATCAATTTTCTTTGTTTCCTTTGCTTCTTGAATCTGTATCTGAGGGTTTTACTCTCACCAAAGACTACGTGACTAATGTAGCTGGAGATTACAGAAAGCACACACCAGTGACAAGCAGCCTAAAGTAATTAATCATCTAATCCTTGGCAGTTTTCTTAAATGAAAGTGGGTCACTCTTTTCACGCCTGTGTGTGTCACTAAGTTTTGCCTCATGTTTGCAGGCCTTAGTGGCAGCTGCTCACCCGACATGCTTAGCACTCCTACACTCATTTCTGCAGCCAAAAACTCACTGTGGCAGTGCTTATTCTGCAACAGCTAGAGCAAGGAAGCCTTGTCAGCTGTTTGATCAGACCCTTAGGATTACAATTGCACTATAGCAATGCATAACCTGTATAACATTAGGTAAATCTTTATCCTTAGCATGGGAGTTACTGCATAGACTCATGCAGCTTTTTTTTTGGCAATAATTTATGTTAGGCTTTAGGTTTTTTTTCTGGTGATATTTTTTAACAAAGCCAGTTTTCAGTCAAGCCTCCTCCTTTCTCACTAACTTACATTCAGCTTATAGTGTGGTAACTGTTACTCTGGTATTTTGTATTAGGAGGTATAAGCTGTCATAATAATGATGGTCTTAACCAAGGGCTCAATTCCTACAGTGTCCCTTGATTCAGGACAGTGCTGTAGGTGTGCCTAGAGTACATCAATGCTTTTTCTAGGAGCACAGATTGTGCTTAGTTATACAAGGAAATGTTAAAGCAATTATACCAACCCTAAGATGACTGCCCCTGCCACACTGATGGAAAGTTTCAATTGAAAGAAATTTACATGCTAATAGCCAAAGATAGATCCCAGTAAGGTTGGTTTTCCTGTCTTGTGGCAGAGGAACTATACTGATGTCATACAGGCTTTTCTTCATTCCCAGAAAGAAACCAAGCAGTATTTTAAGTGCAGCTGTTCATTGGCCTTTAAATGATTTTGGCTCCTTTATAATAAGTCTTAGCACAGAAGTAAACATTATTCTGCTCCAGACTTTTGTTTCAGCTGCAATTGCCCCTCTTACATGGTAAAGTATTTGCACCTGCCTGATGTTTCTTCAGGCCATGTAGTAACAGTAGCAGCCAAGAAAGCAAACCAGTAACTGGTGAAACATCCTCTTCCTTTCACACGTTCTCACTCCAGCAGTAGTTAAGAGGGAGATCTGCTCTTTGACCAGCTCACAGCTCATTCATGCTTTGTTTTGCTTGTGTAAGGACCTTGTGGACTTTTTACGAACTCATTCTCACAGTGCTGTGTACGCCACATCTATGTGTCCACCCGTAGCAGAGCAAATCATCAGGGCAATGAAATGTCTCATGGGACAAGATGGAACAACACAAGGTAAGCCACCTTCTTTAACTTCATTGACTGCTGCTGTGTAGAGCATCTGCTGTGTAGAGGCACACACAAAAGGTCATCCAGCTGCATAGTATGGTAATACAATGCAAAGGCAGTAATTCTTACTGTAAGATTAATATCCAAATGATCATATCTCTAAGCACTATCAGCTCTCTTTTTCCATGCTCACCTACATACAGCAGGAACTGAAATATTCTGGAATTCTGGCTCCATAGTTGCCAGCCCCATCTGCACCAACAAATAGAAGTACACAAATTGCCCTTGGAGTAGATTGTCTGCCTTTGTAGGAGGGGTTCATAAGAGCATGCCTTCATTTATGGGTTAGATGCTGCCAGCTTAGCTTCCTTGTAAGTGTGAACCTTCAAAATGGCAACCAACTCCAGCATGGGACAGAATTTCAAAGCAGGTATTGTATGTTAATATTATAGTATGAGAAGATGATTGCAATAATTCCTACCTCACTCAAGCATTAATTACAGTATCCTGAAGCTAGTGTTGAAGTACATTTTGTCCCAGAAGAATTGACTGCTTGGTGTATTAGGTTTATCTGTGTTGCCTTCCTGAAGCTGCAGGTGCAGCTACCATCCAGTCCTCTGTGTACATGCTTTCTACGCAACAAACAACAAAACAACTATGTGACAGATCTATCTGCTGCTGTTTCAGAGTGATACTGCTGTGTGCTCAGTGTTCTAGGACTTAAATCCCAACCCAGAGAAAAGCTGGTGTTTTGTGTAGTTTTTGTTAGGAAAGCCTAAGAATTGTGTGATTGTGTAACATGCAGTGGGAGATACAGATTCTGAATTGCAGTCTCATTTTTACTGGTCCAGCAGCACTGTGCTCTGCTGTTCCATCTTACTTCCTATAGGAGTATTAGTCCTCCATGTTTGATGTGGCTAGGGTAAGGCTGGGGATGGAAAGGCAAAAAGGCTATGTGAGAGCAGGTAAGATGCTGACCTGCACTATTCTGTTGCAGTGCCCTAGAGGGCAGCTTCAAACCGTGGCAGACACGAGGCTATAAAGACGTTTATCACAGCCCTTCAGCGAGGCCAGTGTACAAAAGGAGGGATAGAGAATCCAGCCCCAGTGCCAAATTCTGCCGAGTGCAATAAGAACTCCAGTGCAATGTGTAAACAACGAGATCACGATCATACAAAAAAACGATGCTTTTGTCATTTTGGCAGAGAAGTCAGTGTTACAGCTGTTTCCAGCTCGGAATTTGTAAGGTCAGGGTTGAGTGTGCTGATGTCTACATCCTGTTCAATCTAAGAGAGCAGCTCTGACATGTTTCTTCTGCCTTGGGGACTAAGCCTGCAGCCGGTCCTGCTGCGCTGCTGCCTGCGCCAGCTATAGGAGATGCTTGCCGTCAGAGGGCGGTCTCGGTCTTAACACTGAGCCTGCCCGGCAGTTAAATACTTAAGGCTCTGAGAGATGCCGCACGCAAAGCATTAAACACGCAGAGCATTCCCAAACTTTCAAAGCCTCTCAAAAATTATCTTCATCTAGCGTGATTCTGCATGCAGTTCAGTGCAGGCTAATAAGAGAACTTGCTTCAAGACGGAGCCTTTTAAGATGTGCGTGTCTGACTGTCTTAGGGCTAAGAGTTTGCAGCATTTTCTCTTCCAGAAGCATTGTTTAATGACACAATGTTTGTATTTCTGCACAAAATAAGTGCCTATTAAGTCTTCCGCAAATCCTTTATGAAATAAATTACTGTGCTGTTATTTTTTAAGGATTTGCCTTGTAATACAAAATGCAAATGAACAGAAAAACAAACGAATAAATCATATATCACAACTTAGAGCATTGCACAAAGGCTAGGAAACTGGCTATGATGTGTAAAAATGTCTCTTGTCCTTCCGAGCCAGACTCATTATTTTAGTCTATTGGGTTTTCTTTCATGTGGGCCTCCCTTCATTAGGCTGTCTTGTGGACTACAAAAAAACCCCACAACCCAAAACACAGGAAAAAATGTGCTGGACCACACTACAGTGCTGCTTTGGCATCAGAGAGAGGAAGGTGGTGGCTTAGAAAGGAGGGGGGAACAGAAGGGAGAGAGCACTGTCTCTTCTTAGATATTTTTGTTTCCAAGGACAACAGCAGCTTTGGCTGAGTCCTTTTGGTCCACCCTCATAGGAAATGGTGAATCCTGCATGTGAGCCATCATGCTATACAACAAGAGCTGTATAGCAGAGACACCTGGCAGAGGAGTGGCAAGTGAACCAGAATTGCCCCAGGGTGGTATTGCACCCTTTGTCCTCTGGAAGCTTGTTCAGTTGACAAAAGGAGTTTATTTTGCCATTTATTTCAAATGGCATCCTTTTCCTTATGGATGATGTGAAGAATCCTTTATAAGGAGATGTTCACTGACAGCTTGTCCTCTGGAGGGCATTTCCAAAGGGCGAAAAAAGATAATAGGAATCTTTTGGAAAAGAATGAAATTAGAGTTTGCTAAAAAGTTCCATGTTAACTGGAGGGTGCTTCTTGAAAAGAATGTGAAATAATGGGATGACAAATCTGTTAACCCAGTGTGTTCTTACAGCTGAAATTCATGACTGAGTCCTTCATAAGTCAACAGAAAACTAAGACAAGGAAGGCTGATTTGGTCATTTAAACTGCTGCTCTGAAAACTCTTTATTTTTTAGCACTTCACACAGCCTTCTCTTCTATTTTACCAGATATCATGCTTTTACATTCCCTTCAGTTTCTTACCAGTTATTCTCCACTAACTTGTTAAGCAGCTGATCTAGAAAAGAATAGCATAGGTGGAATTATAGAGTAGGTAACGCCAGAGGCCAGAAATGCAGTGATAGTGCTTGTGTTTATCCTGGTGTGTATCTAATTGATTGATCTCCCATACTTGCTTCCTTTATTTTCAATTAGCAAGAATATGGCTGTTTGGAAAAGGAATCAGGGTGTGCATTTCCAGGACAGGATCAGTATTCTGGAGGCATGACTGCAGGATATGAATAGATGTTTATGAACACAGGGGGTACAGCTTCATTACAAGGAATAGGTTAGCACTTTAAATATAATTCTATAAAACCTAAACTGTTTAGGTGGAAATTATCCAGAGCAGGTGTCTGTTTCAGGCTACAATTTTCTCATATAACAGAAAAGTTTCAGCTCTTCCATAGAAGAAGGCTGGATATGCACACAGGGCTTTGATAATCTAGGGAGAAAAAAGGAGGGGAGGAAAAAACAATTCCTAACAAAATCCTTTTCTCCTAAAGATCTTTGGTTTCTCCAGGCTTAGGGTGGAAGACTTAGACTGTGGCAGCCAAGTTTGTAATTTTGGCACATCTATGAATTTACCACCCGAGTCTTGTGATGGGGAGGGACTCCTCATTAGGGACTGTAGTGATAGGGCAATGGGTAACGGGTTCAAACTTAAACAGGGAAAGTTCAGATTGGATATAAGGAAGAAGTTCTTTACTGTGAGGGTGGTGAGGCACTGGAATGGGTTGCCCAGGGAGGTTGTGAATGCTCCATCCCTGGCGGTGTTCAAGGCCAGGCTGGACAGAGCCTTGGGTGACATGGTTTAGTGTGAGGTGTCCCTGCGCATGGCAGGGGGGTTGGAACTGGATGATCCAACCCCAACCATTCTATGATTCTATGTTACAAATATCAAAAAAATCTCTGTTTAAAATATATATTGACAAATCTGAAGGTGCACTGAATGAAGGAGCGTCTTCCAGCTCAGTTTGGAGGGGCAAGAGCAGAGCATCTGCCATCTGGTGCCTAGGCAGAGGAGCGGGGCCCTGAGCACCTGCATCCGTCCTGCATTGTCAGGCACTTAGGGAGGTGAATTAGGATGATTAAAGAGAGAAGACACTCTGACAAGCACAACAGGGATAGCAAGTGGGTGATAAGGATGGGGACTAGGACCAAAATGAGGTGCTGAGAAGACAGTCTGGAGACGCTGTGAACAAATAGGGCCTTGTGTGGGGAAGGAGAAGAAGAAGGACAAATGTGCCTATAAGAAACTGTAGGAAACACAAAACCCTCCAATCCAGTGCTAGTACCTGAGACACTCCTTGCTCATCTCTGCTGTGGAAGGGTCACAGCAAGATGTGTGCTTGCCTTCCTTTGCACTAGGAGACTTCAGTTTGGATGGGGATGTTCTCATTTTGAAAGCCTTGCACTGTCGTAAGTAAAAAGATACAGAAAAGACATTGTATCTCACACAAAAACCATCTATAAAGGTACGGGCATATCCCATAACAATATTTGTGACAGTTGTGAGACATTAATGTCATGATACTGTGACTGGAAGGATGCTGCAGAGCCCACAGACAGCTATTACGGTTTCCTTCTTTTGCTGTGTTTGCTGCTGTGACTTGAGAAAATGAAGCACAAGAACTGATGGATTAGGAAAAGATATTAATTCCCTCAAAACTAGACAGCTGTTTCTGCCTAGGAAAGAGGAGTAGGTTGGGGTCGCTGTGACCAAGTCCTTTGTTTCTTGAGTGACTATCAGAGGAGTCAGAAACTGACAAAAAAGAAGCAAATGTATTTCTATTTTCATGTGAAATCCTATTTTTAGTAGAGTACAAGTCCTGGTCTTTTTCAATGCCATGTTTTTTACAGCACACTGAAAATTGACAGCTTGTAGAACCAGACACATGTATTCTTGGTACCATAATGTCATAGATACTATCATAGTTCCTGTTATAGAGTTGTTCTAGTGTTCTGGCAGCTGTATTTGCTTTAGTAATGTCACAAGGCAGCAAGTTCCACAGTTCAGTACATGTAGTCTATTAAAAAAACCCTCATTTTATCCCTCTTAAGCCTTTGTGGCCTTTTCATCTCAAACATGTGCCTCCTCGTTTATTTGGAGATATGGGAAGCAGGAGTTCCCATGGCATTTACTCTTTATAATTCACAATATAGATATTCTCTCTATGTTCTCCTCGTGGCTTCTCATTACACCACTGGAGATACGTCAGGAAACTCAACAGCTGCTTTAGTGGTTTTATCCCCAT